AGCTCCAGATCACGACGATACGGCGTCGTTGCAACGTAAGACGAACCAATACTGACAGGAAAAAACAAACCTCATAGATACAAATGAGGAGGCGCATGCGGACGGGCACACGCTCACATGCGCAAACCATGAATATGTCCGTTATAGTGTAATTTAAAGTGCTTTTATCAGATCTTAAAAGCTAGAAGAGATCCATACACACACGCACACACACACACACACACACACACACACACACACACACACACACACACACACACACACACACACACACACACACACACACACACACACACACACATCTATATATATATATATATATATATATATATATATATATATATATATATATATATATATATATATTGACCTACGCAGACTTGAGACCCGAAACTATTCGTCGCGTAAAAGCACTCCTCCCTGTTTCGCACAGGGTCAAACCGTCTAAAGTGGGTTACATAATTTCACCCCAAAGACGCTCAGAGGATAGCGGCATTGCGACACAACTTATTGGAGCATTCAGGGTCAAGATCAGGTCGTAGTCATACCAAGCTTCCGGAGTGTGCGCCATTGTCCCAACAAAAAGGCAAACGTGTGCTGGAAACGTGACCCATTTTTTCCCCGGAATGCGGCAATTATAGCAAACAAATTGCTACGCTGTACAAATTGTTGCGGATCGCAACGCAAACAGGGGTTACAGTAATTTTCTGCGAAACCATTATGCCTCAAATGCCAGAGTCGCACGAGACGAGGTTGGGGCGCACCCCAGGTTCCAGAGGTGCACGGGCACCCAGTGCACCCACCTGGCTACAGGTCTGGTCAAAATCCACTCTAGCCAGCCTTAGACTGTCTGAGGCGGCAAGGCATGGGCCTGATGTCACCCAGGGTGACCACACCGGCTCCTCTGCGGAGGAGGACACAGCTGGCCTCCTGCCACGGTGCTATCGGCTGTGACTGTGAGCTTGTGGTCCTGTCAGGCCCATTGAAAACCAATGAACCGGGGCAGCGCAAATGTGGCAGAGGAGCCGCGTGCGAACAAATGTGGTGGGAGAGGCATACGCGCACAAACAGACACAGCATGCGCCGAAGTGGACGGTTAAACTAACACCCAAATGACACGGTGCTTTCAGAATTTTATGATCAAGCAATACCGCTGGATGGCCAATAATTAGGTTCAAATTCACAGCCACAATGGACGCAGGTACGCGTGATTAATATTCTGCGTGACGGTTGACAGGTGCATTCGAGCGATTTGGGGTGGTGTGCTTGAGTACGTCTTTATCAAGGTTCGGAAAATTCGTATATTCTCCATCTTCCCCCTCTTGTTAATGAAAGTCAGCTCAATACGCCATTGCCGCGATGTCCGATGTAATCTCACACAAATGACTCCTTGGCGTCAATGAAATACAGACATTAGGCATATCGCAGTGACCGCTCGCCCCGCCAGTGCTTGGCTAACCCACGTTATCGAACGCCCGGAGCCGCAGAACTGGAGTCGGGGAAGTCCGCCACATCGGCATTGCGATGAGGGCTCAGCCGGCGCATACACGCTTCAGCACCGAAAATATAGCTGTTGGAGGCATCAAATATGGCAAACCAGACGCACAGGGATTAGCAGTTTATAGATCAGAGAGTTTGTCGGAAAATCGTGGCTTTAATGCCGACGCCCGTTTTACCCATGATGCATATAAATTGAAGCTTATAATTTTCTGAGCGGCCAAAAAAAAACGTTACATGCGTACTACATTTTTGAAATGGACACCCGGGCTCAAAGAAGTAAATAGGCACACGTTAAACACGATTATTCTTGGCTTACCCTGTAACCCTTGTTTAAGCCACTGCCAAGCAATAAATGTCAAAATAATTCGGCACCAAGCGCCACAGGTGTTTTACAAAATAACAATGGATCCATGCTTTTAGATCTGGGATCTTTGTTTCTAGATCTAGATCTATGTGATGTGGTTTATATATTTAATGCAAGCTTAGTTTCTAGCACGGTACGCTAATAGTAGTTGTGCAACATGTTCCAGTGTCCGCTTAAAATATATGATGGGCCTCAAAAGAAGGTGTGTCAGATAGTGTATTTAAACTTATTTGTCTTTGCGACCGCCTACTCTGGATTTGGATGGGAGAAATCCCGGCCTCAGTGCTGTCTCATTTGAATTTTTTCTCTTTTCATATGGCAGTGGAGAGATTCATCGACATAATTTATTTAACTCGCCACGAAAACAAGACACAGTCTGACTGGGTTCGAGGCACTGTCACAACCAGGAAAACAGACATTGATGAAGCAGTCCATGAAACAGAACTGATCGCCTTTGATTAGCATAGCATCATATAAGTTTGCGCGTATCGGAGTCCATTTCAAAATCCAAAGCCCTGTAGCCGTGCGAACTCATTTCAACGTTCGTTATGCATCCTGAAAGCTTGACGGTAAGTAACTTCACAGGTAAGCTTTGCATTTAAGTTGAGCATAAACGATGCATACATGTCTCACCTCATTTTGCATGTAAAGCGATCAATAGTGATGCATATCCGTGCCATTCACCGCAGCTTTGGACATGGTTATTTCGAGCTTTTGGCTTGTTTGAGGTTTCTGTCTTTTACAGGGAAAGATGTCGAAGGTCTGTAAAAAGGAAAAAGGACACTTACATTCGATCTCATAATGTTAAGTTTTCTGCGTTTTATTTTGTCAATGGTGCGAATTGCCCTGTCAGATAAAGGCACCTAAGCAACTATCATCTGAATTAAAAAAGAAAGTGAAAATAAAAAGAATAGACGGCTGTGGGTGAAACAATAACGAAGGATTGATGTCATCGTGGGTAATAAAACACACGTCAGCGACTTCTAAGAAAACGAACACCTGTATTCTGAATGGTGATTCGCGGTGCTCATATTGAGGTAAAAACACTGCTTGTGTCTAGAGAGCATAACTTCGGTTGCTGTTTTTCACAGTACTCGTTTTTTATGTGTTTATTGTAAAATCTGCAGAGTGCAGATCATTGCTACCTAGCCATGTCGCAAGTTAAATTTTTCAGCCAAATGAAACTATTTTTTTTAAAGATTTGATCCGAACCCTTTGAATGGATGGATCTCAGGGATCAGAGCTCACGCTAAGCAGTGCTTGTTGTGTGAGCCCTGACCCCTACCATCCGATCGCGCAATTCCATGTCAACGGCAGAATTTTGTGGCGAAAGCTTAACGTGCCGCAATGCTCGGCACGGTCCGTCCTGCCCTCTGACGTCAACTGACCTTTAGCTCGACCGCTGCCACCGGCCGCAGGCCATACCTGTCAAGGGCAAATAGCGAGCGCCCTAAAGCGACTCGAACCCACCCCGCCACGGGTGGGTGGATCGGAAGGCAGGCGCTCTAACCAACTGAGCTACCGGGACGGACATGTCAATCATTACAACATTATGTCAATCTATTTATGTTAGTTCCCACTCTGTCAAGTGCGAACGAATTTCTCACCTTGCCTTTCCTATATTTGTAGGCCATGTTTGCCAGGGTTACTTTTCATTGCATGACATATGTAGAACCACATCGGTAATTTGAACAAATGCAGTTCTGGTGACATATGTCATATCTAAAAACAAGTGTGGTAAACTTCTCTGAAACTCCTGGGTCGCGAAAGCTTGGCATGTTTGACTCATGGCACAGCACGTAGTCCGTGCGCTTGGGCCCAGACAAAGATGTCGGCGTATCGGGTCAGAGAGTTGCGCTCCAGACCTGAACCATGAGTATATGATATATGTGAGGGTGCCATAGCCCTGAGAAAGCTCAGTGCGTCATCTGATATCCTCGTCCGAGAAATGTTTCGTCTCTCCGTCAATTTATCTCCATCTATCCTTGATCAGCATCAGTTTAGCATTCGTTTCTGACCGTCCCTCTAGGAAGGTAGCGAAAGGACGGCAGCGGCACGAAGACAGCCAAACAAAGTTAGTGTAACCGCCCTGATCTATTGCATTTCTAACCGTGCTACCCTCCCTAGCCGTGTGACCTTTGCCCTTGATTCTTAGTGACAAAGTGGTCCTGGTTCCTGGGCCTCACGAGGTCCTGGCCGCATACACTTGACACTATCTTGAGTGATGAAAGCAGGAAAGGTCTTGAACTCCTGGTGTTCTGTATTGTTGGTTGGGATATCTTATTCTGACATAATCGGCATTCAGTATACCACGAGGTAATGGTAAGGACTAATTTAGCCAGTACCCCCTGGCATCATGAAGGTCGATTTTCGTCAAAATAAGATCTCCCAACTCAGTCCGTCAACGTCTACTAACGTTTACCGCCATCCCTTTCACCCTTCCTCGCGTCCCTACGCTCCCAATCCTCCCTCCATCCATCGCCACGCCATCAGTACGGCTGCAGCCGGGTATTGATAATCACCGAAACGCGTGCACACACCGGCCAGTCAATACAACACGGTACAATAACATATAGTGTGCTGAGCGTTTTCAAATCCTCCAGATGGTGAGCTCAGGCGGCCAGGTACTCGCGGCAAGCCACGTTAATTGCATCGGCGCGTAGACGGCCAGTCAAATGGTGCTTGCTAGTCATTGCTTTGGATCTGAGGACTTCCCCCCTAAGGTACCACGCAGGCTTAATTTGCTGAACAGCGGGCCCAAGTAACCGGAACAGCGGGGTCAAGTAACCGGAACAGCGGCGGTGCGTCCCAGGCCCGGCTCAGACGTCACGCGAGCAGAGGCCCAGCCTCGGCTCCCAGTTGGCCAGCATGCAGAGTGGCGCCGAGTTGGGCTGCTCAGTGTAAAGCTAGTGCGGAGCTGGGAAATAATTCCGGTTCAAGTTTTATCCGATGCATTCGAATATAAACGATCTCATTCAACGACGTCACAAGGAGAAAATACTGAGAAGTCGGGCCATACCGCGGCCATGCCATTGTTTTATAATCGGCACCGAGGATCAAAGGTGAATGGCACGGGACATCAGAGCGAGCCCATTCCGGCCCCTTCTGTTGCCTCTGTTGACCTCTGCTGACCTACCGTCGAGTTGACGCAGCGTCGCATGGGGTCGACGGGTCTGTAGGTGGCCGGCGGCGAGTACCGGCCCGGGAAGCACGGTGCCTGCGGCAGCGGCTTCATGCCCATCATCTTGTCACTGGGGCTGTACATGGCGCCGCTCGCGGACTGTCCACGCGCCGTCACGCCTCACACTGCACGCGCGGCCGGCCGGCGGCGGCGGCCCGCTCGGCCGCCCAGCTCGTCACCCCGCGCCGCTGTCGTCAGCGGTGCCCCGCGGCGCCGGCGGACAATCCCACGCGCTCGCGCGCGACTGCGAGCTGCAGCAGCGACGGCGGCCGAGGCACCTGTACAGGCGCTGATTGGGCGGGCAGGTGGGTGCCGCCGCCGGAACTGGGGCTCTGTTTATGGCCGGCAGCGGGCGGCCACCGCCAGGCCACCTGGCCGGCCGACGGCGCGCCCTGCGCATGCGCCGGCCTCGCCGATCCATGGCGACGCCCGGCCGGTAGTCGGCAGATTGCAGGGGCGATTGGCGGTATCTGATGGGCCGCGTCACAAGAGGACTAATTATTTTATGCCGCGCTGCTGGCCGGCGAAAGGCGCGCGGCGGCGGCGCGGCGACGGCCGACGCGTATGAATCACAGCCGTGTTTTAGTTCACTCTTTGTGCGCGCCTCCCGCTGGAGATAGGGCTTGTATTGACTCGGTACATAATCGCGTTTCGCAGATGATATTGTACTGACATAAATCTCCATTAGTTCGGTGTGTAATTTGTATAGTTGGTTTGGCTTTGATACGCCCCACACTTGGGATTTGCGCGGGTCCCATGGCTCCCGGTCCTCGCTGATAAATGCGATTATTTCGGTAATTCCGCCGGCCTGTATGACAAGTGATGGTGATCAGGGGACGACTCTTCGCGCCGGGATGTGCCCTGCTCGACATGGTACGGCAGGCATTGTCAGATCGGGGCCGGTAATTGCGAGAAGGGTTCTGTGTAAACATCATCCACTAAGCACCGCCATAAAGCCTACTATAACCAGCTGCCGCTTCGCCAACCAGACAAGTTGGCATCGGATTGACCCTATTCTTCCTCGCGTCTGCTCCAACAGGCATTGTCACCATTGAGAGCCTCGATAGCGTGTTGTTCTATTCCCGTCTTTGCTAAATCCTGACCCAAGCCAAATACGCCCCGTCACCAACCAGCATCGCTCGCTGCACCTCAGCACCAATCTGGCGCGTCCGGCACCACCGGCTCCGCGCACCAGCCTGCAGTCCCCATCAGAGCACCAGCGCAGCCGGCCTCGCCGCCGCCGGCAACGACGCTCGGCCGCCGGGCGGCGCGCGTACAGCTTTACCGAATTTCCCATTTCGACGGTCCCGTGGGGCCGGCAAAAACCGTAGCGTCCGCCCTCCCCCGTATAGATCCTATGAAAAGCAAACATTCAATTATACGTGATTACAAAGTGTATCGGCGTATCGGGCGCGGGCCGGCGGGGCGTCTGCTAATGGCCACTCCGTGTAGCGCTCGGATGGGGTCCGCTCCCGCCGGCACAATGTGCGACAGAGGCGAGCGCGGCGCCACAAAACGACGACGTAATCGGCGAAAAATGAACAGCAGACAGCTGGCGGCGGCGCAGGGGAGAGGCTGGGAACGGAGACAGCGCCGGCCGGCGGCCAGCGACTGCCAGCCAGTCGAAGCCGGGGCAGGCAGACGCGGGGGCGGGCACGGCGATGTCGTGAGCCACACGTGCATTTCACCGACAGTGCAGACTGGGGTTGTCCGCTCGCGCCACAGCAGGGGTTAAGCATTGCGAACCCCCGTCTGACCCGAGGCTGATCGGCATCACGTCCGCCCGGGCAGCGCAGCCGTCTGCCGTCCGTTGTGGCTCTCGCTCTGGGCATTCGGCCCATCGTGCCCGCCAGCCGCGCGCCGAGCGCAGCACCAGCGCCGTTATTTTTCGGCCGTCAACAGGCGTCAATGGGCATTAAGGTGCCGACTGGTAGCTTCCGGTTGGCGTTCGGCGAGCCCCTGTCCGGAAGGACAACACGGCGGAACGGCGCCCGGTAACTGGCGGCGTCGGCACGCGCCGGACCCCGCGCCGGAAGGACGACGCCACTAAATGACGACCGGTGGGCCAGCGAACTGCCGTGAGGCACCCGTCTTCATGGAGCGGCTCATGCAAAGGTGGATGCGCTGGCATATGCGGACCAACATAATTTGAAGATATCCAGCTGATGAACACCGTCAAGCGTATTTGTTGCCTTACGTTTTAAGCGAAAAGACAGCTTATTGATACGGGTTAATTAGCTAATTGCAGTCAATGACCTCCAAAAATGTCCAGTCAAGACATAAATCCAGCCTCCATGCCGCTGATCTCCTATCTGACAGTCGAATCATCTTGACTGCGTGGGATTTAGTTGCGACGATTCAGATGACCGCCAGTGAACCAGCCAACACGGACTAATTTAGCTTAACAGACGAGTAACAAAGGCCAAGTGAGCAGCCAAAACGACCGCATTTGAAGTGAGTGCCCCGCCAACGTGGTCAGCACTGGAGCACACGGGCCGTTTTAGGACTGGCAATGTTCGGACAGCAAACACGGTGGTCGGTTAATCAATGGCTACTACGCGTTGTAAGCACCGGGTGCTGGCCTGTGCCTTTCAACCAGACCGAGCAATCTAGTAAGACAGCGAGCAACGCATTATATTCCCCAGCGACCCGAAGCTGCTTTGGACCAAGCGTTTAACCCTTTTCCAACCGGCCGGTAGAAATAGTCGCACAATACGATAATCGCGTCCAATCGACCGGAACAGAAATCAATCGCTTCACCAGCCGAGCCCAGCTGCGTCAGCGCCGACAACTCTCTCCCACCCGCAAGCGCACCCGAGTTAAGCTGCGCCCCCGCCGCCCCCCCCCCCTCCCCCCTCCCCCCTCCGCCCCCTCACGGCCGTCACGCCGGGTCACCGTCAAATCAAAACGGCCGCACAACAGCCCACTCCGGGCCATTGTCGGCTATCTCGCTGAACGGCGGCGTCGAGCGGCACATCCGGTCACGCGCCGCGGCGCGCTCCGCAAGAGTGCATGCAACCGGCGGCTGCCGGCCGGCCGCCGCTATTGATTTCAGTCAGTAAATAGCCGGCGGCTGTTTGTTCGGAGGCCGGCCGGCGCATTGTTGTCGCGGCTCGCCGGACGGGCGGCCGGCGGCCACCGTCGTCCCGGCCCGGCAGCGCCACTGCAGAGCGCCGCTCCACCCCGCAGCCAGAGCAGAGGCGGCCGGTCCCCGACGCGTCCCACGCCTGGTCGGAGGGGCCCCCACCCTGCAGCCGGAGCAGAGGCGGCCGGTCCCCGGCGCGTCCCACGCCTGGTCGGAGGGGCCCCACCCCGCAGCCGGAGTAGAGGCGGCCGGTCCCCGACGCGTCCCACGCCTGGTCGGAGGGGCCCCCACCCCGCAGCCGGAGCAGAGGCGGCCGGTCCCCGGCGCGTCCCACGCCTGGTCGGAGGGGCCCCCACCCCGCAGCCGGAGTAGAGGCGGCCGGTCCCCGACGCGTCCCACGCCTGGTCGGAGGGGCCCCCACCCTGCAGCCGGAGTAGAGGCGGCCGGTCCCCGGCGCGTCCCACGCCTGGTCGGAGGGGCCCCCACCCGCAGCCGGAGTAGAGGCGGCCGGTCCCCGACGCGTCCCACGCCTGGTCGGAGGAGCCCCCACCCTGCAGCCGGAGCAGAGGAGGCCGGTCCCCGGCGCTTCCCACGCCTGGTCGGAGGGGCCCCCATCCCGCAGCCGGAGTAGAGGCGGCCGGTTCCCGACGCGTCCCACGCCCGTCGTCCCGGCTCAGCAGCGCCTCCGCTGCCGCCGCGCCGCTCCGCCCCGCAGCCGGAGCAGAGGCGGCCGGTCCCCGGCGCGTTCCACACCCGTCGGAGCAGCCCGGGAGCGACCCACGCCCGGTCGAGGTCGCGGAGACACCGACCGGCTGTTCGGCGGCGACACAGGGCTGCATGTAAACAGCTGTTTGGCGCCAGAGGATGTCACCAGTTAATTGCGCCTAAACTGCATTGCTCTCGCTCTCGCGATCCATCGTTGACAGAAGCAGCAATTCATACGGCGCTTTAGTTACAAAAACTCAACGGACACAATAGCTAACCGCAGATGTCATTTGCACCAGCGTCTGTGTCGCCGACGTCGGCAGCTATTCTAGCTCTCAGCGCCTGCCTGAGAGGGACGTCTCGCCGCCGGCTAACATCTCGGTACACAGGGGCCGCGCGCCGGCGCCCTGTTTGCATTTCCAGCCAGATAAAGGCGGTCCGTCATTAACTGCGAGTGGCTGCCGGCATGTTCAAACACGCCCATTCAGCCGGCCGGCCGGGCATCATCAAACACATTAATCATTCAGCGCCGACGCATGGCGACCAATCTGTGCCGGCCGGCCGGCGGCGCTGCGGCCGGGCCGAGCGGTTCAGTTAACGCAGCCGGCCGGCCGCCGGGCCGCCCTGTTACTGCCAATCACCGGCCTTGGCGCTCCACTGGCTGCTCAATTAATTGCAAGTGCGGGCAGGTGCGGCCGACCCGGCCGGGGAGGGCTCTGGGAGCGGTGCACGGGCAGACGGGCGGGGGGCGCTGGCAGTGCTCGCGCCGCGAACAGGGCCGCACGGGCCGGCGCCGGCGCCCTGTAGAGTGGCTTGTTGAGGGTTGCAATGACGCGGCGAGAGGCGGCCGACATGATCTGGATTGGCTTGTTTTAAAGGTTTGTTGTAGATTTCCTCCTTCGGATCTGTTGGAAAGGGACCACTGTGACAGCACGCATTGCGTTAGGATGGATATGCTGTCTTCAGGGTTGTAACGAACAGATTGCATTCAGCTATCTTGCCAACTTTCGGATGGACCAGATAAAATCTTCCATTCCGGCCGGACCTTAGTCTGAAAGACGTTCGGAAATAGCTATATCAACGATGACGCAATACTCGGCGCTCGATACTTCAAGCAATCCGGCGAATCCGGATCATGCGGCAAGCTGGTCGGGTGTTAGATCGCATAGCAAATGCGGTCCTAGCCCGCACAGTTACTTACTTGTTCTGACATTGGTGGTCACACAAGCAATGAATCAGTGGCTGCATTATAAGCGAACGACCGAATAATCCTCGCGCAATCCCATGCCGTATTTATGCATCGTGTCACGCGTAGTGTTATACGTCCAGCGTGCGACTCCGGGCATGCGATG